CATACAGCCAAGATGCAAAACTTCGTAGATCGTGATGCTCTGATCGAAAAATAGTGCGGAACTTTGGTCAGATTCACAATGGAGTTCAGGCGACTGAGTTCGGAAACCACTTCACTTGCGATTGAATTATCACTTCTGTTTCGCAGCCATACGCAATACGCATGGCAGATACATTTGGTGTGGTGCCTAAACAAAAAGCCAACATACTTTGTCACAGATACAAACAAATGAGTGAATAAAAAGAACATTTCAAAGAGGGAGACATTTTGTTTGTCAATTGTAACCGCACTTCGCTTCTCGATATGATTTGAACATAAAGCTTGGCTGCACATAGAGTTTTGTGTTGATTTCTCGCGACAGTCTGGTTGTGAAGGTTTACAACCGACTCATAACTCCGGAGGCTAGTGCTGAGATGAGCGAGGTCCGTGGCCTTCAGCAAGCTCGCACAGATGGATTGTGCTATATCGTGTAAATGGAGAATGAAACTCGGTCTCATCAGCTGCCCGGTGGCCAAGTGGCTAGCATGCTTTCTCTCTACCTGTAAGGTTCCGAGTTCGATCCTAAGTTGGGTCGATCGATTTGCACTACTGATGAGACCCAACAAGGTCAAAACAGCTGTCCGGTGCCGCCTAGCTTATCAATTCACGCTTCAGTTGCTATATACACGACGAATTCACCTCTGAGATTGAACCAAAACCTCCATTAATCAATTGACATTCAGAACGGTGTTTAGGAAATCTGAACACCAGCCCGACATGTTACGAAGCGAACTGAGATGTGATAGAATATGTGATAGAATAGTCAAAATTATTCCGCTGGATGGAGTAGCATTATGTTCGTACTCTGTTTTATGTATGCATTCATCTTGTTAAATTCATCCAATTTAAAACGTAACAAGCAGACATAAATCCACTTACATTTTCCCAGGATTTCTCTAATATTCTCTCTCTCGTACAATTGCAAACAAAGTGCCTGGTAAACTCAAAAACAACTCTTCAGAACTGATCAAGGAATTGTAACTGTTATTCCCGGATTTGGACAACACAAACACATTGGATTAGTTCAAATTCCATGATTTCCCATCCGAGGAAGCGGATTCATGCTAATGCACACACACACACTTTCACCGTGTTCAATGGGGCTTGGAAAAAGCATGAGCTGATTGACTACAGGGCTCATTGACCGAAACCGCATGGACATCGGCAATCGGACAAGCGCGGAATGCGCAAGCTTGGACCGGAGCACGAAGTTCCGACTTCCCTTAATTCATGAGAAAAAATAAATGGAAGCAATACGGCAGAGTCCAATAAATTCAACCATGATGATGATGGTGCAGAGGAAGCGATTTGTTTTCCTCTCTATATGTGTGTGCTTCTGTATCTGTATGTGTACCAGCATCCGGCGAAGTCTGATTTCCGCAGGAGTTTTTATTACGCAGATTGGGTTAACCTTAAAAAATGCTCATAGATGGCTGGACTGGTGCATTAGGCAAAACATCTTGACCGCGAGCTCTCTCTTAGATGAAATTGAACGGTATTTCAGAAAAATATCACAATTATAAATTTGGAGACAATACTGTTTTCCTCCTTCTTCCTTTCATTCTTTGTCTATGTGGCTGATTCAACAAAATCTGCATACGAAATCAATCGCGAAAGCTAAAAGAGACATCCAAAGTAGTCTGTGCCAAGATGAGCTATAATTTTGTCCCTTCGTTCCGCAATTTCATCTGAAACCATCTGTAAATTTCCATGGGCAATAAAAGACAAGGTTAGTCTATATTCCTATCTTGGTTCAGCAGAAAAGTGTATTTCGAAATAAACAGCACAAAAATGAAGCACCGGCGTAAACCTTACCATACGGATAGGTTCTGGGATTGCATGCCTTCCTGGTCATTGAATATTTGCCGTAACATGGATGAAAGATTGAAATGGAGGTCGTTCGTCGAACCATTTTAAGTGTTTTGAGTTCAGTACACATTTGGTTGGCGACTGGTGAAAAATCGGATGCCTGTGCAACAGATAAACCTCAATGTTCATGTTTGCACGTTATTTAAATAATTATTTATGATTATCCAACATATATGGACAGGTTTCAAATTTGATCTCATGGATTTGAGGGGGATTTTGAAAGAGGTCTATAGCTTTGGTATCAACCTTACGTGTTTTGGAAATATATGGTTCACAAATAGTAAATATAATTATACCAATCGTGCAACATAATTTGTTCAACAAAATTACACCCCGTTACGATCATGAGCTGGTTAACGCTGCGACATTTGATATTATTACCACGGTCGAGGATCAACAATTACGGGTTTCGTCTAATAATTGATGGGAAAAGATGTGGTAAAGGGAGTGTTTGTCAACGGTGTTCATTATTCTTGGTCTGTTATTATACCCACGTCTCATGAACAAAGTTCACTTTAAGAGAACTTACGGAATGATTAAAATTTACTAGTTGCGTTATTATTTTATGATTTATTTCATGGCTTGTAAATGCAAAATAGTGTACCGTTCTTGTTACATATAATATTTTTACTCACAGTAGCATCACATTTTCTACGGAAACACTGAAGCTGTACCAGATATGTCAAATAGATTGACTACACGGACACATCGTCCGAACCTTCTCCACTCAATATGTGGTGCAGCGTACGACCATCACACCTTCTCATTTCTTAACGAAGCTTTGAAACATCAACATTCGTAGAAAATAAAATGCTTCAAAAATCGTTGACCTCAGAATACTCCGATACTTTTTAATCAGATTCACCTACGACAGTAGGATCAAAGCGTGTGCTACAAGGCTAAAGGATTACTAGTCGTGGTTGAAACATCGTGGGTTTTGGTTAAGGGAATGTGAACCAAGGCTGAACAATTGTGGACTTTGGCTAGAGCGTGATGGGAAAAGATGTAGTTGTTCAAATTGCATTGTTTGAAATCTGGGCATTGTTTTCACAATCACTGTATGTGGCCTATTTAGGGCAGTTCAATCACTTACAAGATGAATGCGCAATTTGCAGCAGCAGTTTGGGATGAACACTAAACTATGGTTTATTGGGAATACTGAACCGATCATGCAATTACATGAATGTATCAATTAACAGTCTAGGGTCGAGGTGAAATGATAATATATATTCAGTCCCCAAAATACTTATTTTTATCTCAGGGAATAATTTAATGACCGGCTGATATGGAAGAGACATTGTGATTCTTTTAAGATTATGGTTCGTTTAGTGGGTACACCTGACCCCAGCAAACTGAATAATAGGGCAGTTTTTTATGGTTTTATCCCTATTGCTGTGTGAATTAAGTGAGCATTTTTTTTCAGAAACACAGTTGATTTCCTAATTACTTTCGGTGAAGTATGAAAACGACTTTACAGAAGAGTACTGGATAGGTAGGCTGCAGGAACTGTAGAACCCGTCTTATGCTTCTGGAAAATTTTGTGTAGTCATTTGTATACTAATTATTACTAAATTAGTGTCGACTCCTACATATTTTAATAGTTGAAACTTCGGTTCTAAATTTCTAAATTCTATTGTACACCATTCGTTAACGATTAATAGCAGTGGGGCAGTATATAATTAACTTGCTGTTCTGTCAAAAAGTGGAATGAACGTCATGGCGTTTGTTGCCCAAATAAGAAGACAGGTCTAGATGCTTCAAGCTTCGCAATGCATTTCCAAGAGCGTTTCCCTGTTCCAATGCAGTTTTAAGTGGCACGTTTTCCCCATGATAACCCGTCAGATACCATGCTGTGGACAACCAATAAAAGCCAAATCTAAGTGGATGCATTTTTAGGAGTTCTGTTCATATGGTTTATTCTCAAAACATTTTTTACCATTATCTCATCAGCTTTTCAAAAATAAAAACTATTGTTTTTAATTTGGTCTTCATAGAAACGAGAGACATCAGATTTACCCATCTGAAAAGAGTAATATTTATTATTACTTATTATCCAACAAAGAACTATACTGTATAATCAACGTTATTTGAGGAACCTGTGTTATTTAGACAAGTGTGTGTGTGTGTGTGTGCGACAGATGTTCTTTATTCTCTTTTACTCTGGTATTGTTCAGTTATCTTCTACGTGTATAACAAAATTCGTCAAATAACTTTTGAGTTTGATTCGCAGTAATCATCGAGTGCCGTCTCGACAATTGGATTATGAACACCAG